AGAGAGAGAGAGAGAGAGAGAGAGAGAGAGAGAGAGAGAGAGAGAGAGAGAGAGAGAGAGAGAGAGAGTACTACCGTCTTCACCCGAATACAACGCCCGGTCATTATGGCTGTATTTGGCACAACTTTAAGCCCAGATACGGTGATAATTACCGGGCGTTCTATTCGGGTGAAGACGGTAGGAAGTAGAACTCTCATCTGGCTACTTGGCTATTTTCCGAACGGAATGTGACCACAGACGAACACACACACACTCACACACACACACACACACACACAGAGAGAGAGAGAGAGTACTAGGAAGTAGAACTCTCATCTGGCTACTTGGCTGTGCACGGAATGTCCCCTTACATGTGTTGAAGTGAATCCGTTTGAAAATCTGCGATTGTGAGAGGTCAGGGGCTCTGCTCGCCTCCTACAAGCAGAGGTGTCCCCATTTTCTTCTGCTTGCAGAGTCCGAAACAAGGTGACTGTGTCTTGAGGCTTTGATTGACTGGCTGAACTTAAGAAAAGGTGGGAGGCTGTATCTTTTCCTGGCAAGAGCTAAACGTGCAGAAAGGCGATGCAAGAGTGCAGACCACCACAACCGACAAGATGGAGGGAAGGAGAAAAGGTGGGAGGGGTGTATCGTTTCACATTGGAACTTTAGAAAAGGTGGGAGGCAGATGTCCATCGACATTGGAACCAAGAGGGAGAGACGTTTAGCATGGCCGGTGTGCATGGAACCAAGAGAGAGAACACTTTCATTGAGAGAGAAATGGTCCGTATTTTTTTTTCCCCATAGGAAGAGAGCAAAACGTTGGCTACTGTGCAGTTCTGCCTGCCATGAATGGGCTCTGAAAAGGAAGCAAAATCGGTCATGGGAGGTAGCAGCAGACATGAAGCAAGTTTTTTGGGGGGTGGGGTGGGGTGGGGGGTCGGAGGGGGGAAACAAAAATCTGCATCCGATTCAGCATCCTAGGTCAGTTGGTTAGGCACGCAAGTGGCATTGAGGAGGTTGTGGGTTTGAACCCCTGGACCCGGTGCGGTGGTTGTGGGTTTGAACCCCTGGACCTGGTACGGTGCACTTAGTGCCTACCAGCGCTGGATACCTCTGATCGGTATTAGGAGGGCCTTTGGCGAACACGGGAGTGAGTATGAGCGTGAGTGGGTTGTGTTGTGGTGTGTGGGAGAGTGTTGGCCTTAGACACTGCTGCCACGTGGCTCGCCTTACGTCCGCGAGATTGCACAGAGAGCGAAAGAGGGAGAGGGAGAGAAGACGTAGCTGTCATCTGGTTGAGATCAGTTCTGAGTGTGTGTGTGTGTCTGTGCGGCAGGGCCGCTGGAGACATAGGCGTTACTTTGTATGCTAATGATAATTTTGGTCACGGCTTCCAGATGTGTTGATCTCTCATGTGTGAACTATCTTGTGAATGTTCGTTGATGTATGTGAGGTGAAACTTGATGAGATAACGTCTGGTTGTCATGTTTTTTTCGATGAGAATGCGGTGTTGGTAGTTTTGCTGATGTAGTCTGCATATAGTATCTGATGTCTGTTGTGAGGTCTCATCGGGTGCGGTTTGTGGTCTTTTTGTCGTTTTGTGTTCAGGGCGGGGACTTCTCGAACAAGGATGGTATGATTTGGTCAACCTTCCGATGATGAGTTGTAGTTCGTCAGTTCACTGTGCTTCGATCTTGCTTCCAGCCCGCCCCCTCTCTAGAAACTGGTGGAGGTCAGTCCGACTGGCCTAGCCCAGTT